AGCCGCAAATTTCTTTTTCACTGTCACAAGCAATCAGGAGTTGAATATGTTTTCCTTATTTCTAAGTACATCGCATTTGACTAAAGACACATTTTTGATACTGTACGTTTCATAGTTATAACAGCGTAACACACGAGAGCCAACATTTTAATAAAATAAATTCTTCAAACGTAGGTATAATAAAATGACCTTGTTTGTTAACCTTTTAAAGTCTGTAAAGAACTGGCATAAAATCATTTATGAGACTTAAACCGGCCTATCCTAAACATTCGTAGCTGGCAATAACATGTCTTTAGTGTATTATGTTTAATGTAGGCTAGAACGTATATAGCAGGTGAGAGCTATATTATAAATAATTAAATATATTATTTTAGTGTAAACCTGCACTGTCACCTTTACTTTGAAACCTTTAATAACAGGTTAAGCCCATTAGTAAATATGAAAAAGTGATAACTCTGCAAGTTACTTTAGTAGCAATTGGTTTTTTGTTTTTTTTTTCTTTTTAATCGCTTGTATTTAATTTTTGTTTTAATTAAACAAGGTACTCTTAACTGCTTAAATTAATTGTCCCAAGTTTCTTAATGAGAGTCAGGGAACTATCAGATAGGTCTGAAAAAACTAACCTCCACTTGGACTGCAAAACTGCCCGTGAACCGGACAGAACAACTTGATTGTAAACCATAAGAAGCAAAGAAAGAACATAACGAAAAAATGAAAACACTTTCGTCTTGAAGCTTGATAGAACTGTGCACACCTCGAAACAGTTCCTGTTATTACATCAACCTGCTGAGTGGGTCTTTAAACAAATTATTTACCAGTGGGAGTTGCCTCTCAGGTTTTGGCCAATCAGCTCACACCTACAGCTCCAGGAGTAAAAGCGGAAAAAATGAATAATGAATAACGGGTTTAAAAAGAAAATGAATAAGGAATAAATTACTTGCAGTTAGAAAATTTGACATGTTGATTGCCAGCGGGAATAATAAATTACTGTTTAATGCACCTGTTGATACAATTTCATCAAAATACTTTTACCTTTGTCACACGGCGGCCATATGCATTTTGTCTCAGAGAGATTTAAAAAGCTTTGTTTATGCACGAATAGGCTGGTTCTCTCTAAGAGAACGAGGACTTACAAAGCTATTAAAATCTCCTGAGACAAAATTGCCGCCGCGTGACAAAGGTGTATACATTTCAATTCACCACTTTAAAAACGACAGGGAAACAAACTGGACAGAGTTAACTTTCGCAAATACTTGTGGGACTGTTACTAGGGACAGGGAAAACAATATTGGCCAATCGCTGACCGGTGCGTCTCCAGTAACGATCCCACAAACAACTGCGGGATGCGTTCCAGCCTCAGTTCTCTTCTCGTTTCTAAAGCGCCGTATGAACACTTGCATAGGTCAATTAGTCAAAAAATGTACTTCTCTCCACCAAAAGCAGAATGTGTATAGTGTTCTTGTACTTATTTCTACGGTGTAAGGATGTTGTAATTGTGTAGTTCTCTTCCCGCTTTAAACTTTATAAAGAATGGACCATGGGGCAGAGAAAAAAGTGGCTTGGGATCGGAGGGAAAATTCGTGAACGATATTTTGCTGGTGCAGGTCAATTCATAAATACATTGCACTTCTCTCCCCCAAAAGCAGAATGTACATGTGTCTACGGCGTAAGGATGTTGTACTTGTGTAGTTCTCTTTCCATTTTCAAACTTTGTAAAGAATGAGCCATAGAGTAAAGGAAAAGGCGGCTTGGGATATGGAGGGAGAATTTGTGAGTGATCTTTTGTTTCGTGGGGTCGTGTATTAGGCCCAAAGAAGAGCACACACTAGTGCCAAGCTCAAACTGAACTAGCGTTATTGTTACCATTATAATCGTCATCACCATCATCATCATCATCTTCATCCTCATCATCGTCGTCATGATTGCACAACCGGTTGCCCCGGGGTTGGCAAATTTGCTAATGCCCCACCCCCGGTACTTACCAGGCAGGCAAAAGCCCGGTAGTAGTCCTGGGCGGATGGGCGCAGCTGGAATTAAGAGATGCGTTATAAAGGCAAAACCACAGAAACAAACCACTGAGACCAGCCGAATCTTGCGAGTAGACCTGGATCATTGAAATCTCCAATACTGAATCATAAAAGCAAAAAACCGAACCCTACGGAAGGGAGCGTGAGCGGAAAATATGTAAAGAAAGAAAACAAAAATAGAAGGGTTTTCATCTTGTATTTTGTACTCGTTATATTTTTTAGGCTCCGTTGAAGGTTTGTGTCACAAACCGAAATATCGGGCAAATATAATTCACCGTTCTCTCACTCTTCCTGCCCCAAGGATCCAGTTTACTGTTTTATCTGATATGTTACTATAGTGATACTCACGCTGACGTCACCTATTGATATTAATGCGCCAACCAGAGACGCATTGGTTCTTGTAACAAAAGATTCTTTTGTTTCACTCGATATAAATTTGAAAAAGAAAAATGATGATTGCAAACAGTGATGTCTCCTATACCGAACAGCTAATCATGCCGACACGAAAAACTATTATTTTAGGCACAATATGAACTGGAACACTATAAAGGTTGGCCGAAAGGCTTTGGTGTACTAAATTCAAAACAATTACTTCCGTAAGGTCCAGTCCTCGCTCCGACTCGTTTACTTACGCTACGTACGGAATACCTGCATGTTTACGCTGACAGAGTGGCAGAAGCTTGTCCGGTCAAGGTCCAGCACTTGATACGGTGTTCGCTTAATACAGGTTTCACTGTATTGCAGGGTCAAACCGGCGTTAATGCGGTGGCGTTTTGCCGCGATGACGAGCTACACTCACTGACCAGGGGTACAGAAAGGTACCTAAAAAATGCGGGTCTCGGAAAATTTCGACCCGCTCTCAAAATGTTGGAAGCGCTTGTGATAGGTCTCGAAGTCTCGTTTTCGGGAGATTTTTGCGTCTCGGAGTCTCGATCTTTTTTGCCGACGGGTCTCAGAGTCTCGGATATGTGGTTTTTTCTTTCCGTTTGGTCGCAGGAGTCGGGTTTTACAGAGTTCATGGGTACAGCTTGAACTGATCGGCATGAACTAGTGGATCGAGACAGTAAAACAAGAGAAAGCGGTATATTGGTAGGCTTCCGCTAGCTTCCGTTGGCGTTTTCGATCATTTCTTTATGGTTTTATTTGTATTATTATCTCGAAAGTCTGAGTCTCGGGCTCGGAATTGATAAAAACGCTCAAGTCTCGGTCTCGAATAGTGAAACCAGTCTCGCAAAGTCTTAAATTTACCAGGGGCCCGTGTCTCGAAAGTCCCGATAATTAACGGGCCCGGTAAGCTGTCTCCATTTACATTAAATATCGAGGTTCCAATAGTTTTGAACCTAAAGTGATAAAACTATCAGCTAGTGAAACAAAATGGAGTAGTTTGCTTGCCAGGACCCGCGTTCTTATTCTTTATATTTCGATTTGAATGTTTGATTTCGGGCCCGAAAAGTTACTGGGACTTTCGAGAAACGGGCCCCTGTCTCGCAAAGTCTTGAATTTACCATTCTATACTTCTTCAGTGCTGCTTGTCTTACTCACCATGATGATCAATGTTAACGAAGGATTAATAACAACAAAAACTAACTGCAGAGAAATTTCATTGACTTTTATCCTTTTTTAAAATTTTAGATCAGAACTATACCCCAAAATGTAATTTTACAGTATTCGTACTGCGGTACTCACTGAGCCTGGGTAACCTGTTTGCGTACCGCGTCAGAAAAGAAAATAAGCGACATAAACGGGTTCTCGAGTGTTTTAGTACGCGTATGCTGCCAACGAATCCACTGTTAGCCTTCAAGGCCCTAAAGATTTTAATGTTTCCAGTCCAATAGGCCCTGTTACCCACGTTCGCAGTCACCAACATAAACAACATTCGATTTGTCCCAATACATTGTGTCCACAAATCTACAAATACTAGAAAACATACCGTGGTAAGTTAATTTAACCGCGGCAGGATAATACTCGGGGTCTCAAAATAATTGAGAGGTCTGAGAGGTAATAAAGGTAGTTACTTTGCCTTGCAAACGGCTAGACCTTCGCGAGGCTCGGATGAATATACTTAAAATGGCGGTCCTGCCGTCTTCAGTCACGGGCGACGTAAAAATGGTGTCCTCAAATAGTACTTTCGTGCTTTATACTACTACATAAGAAATTTCTGCAATTTTATTGGCTTAGAGCAGTGGTATTTCATCTTAATTTGAAATACCTACATGTGAAAATTACAAACCTTCTGTGGGTAGTAGTATAAACAAATAATAGCATGATTTGCACGTGATATTTGGCATAAATACCACTCGTGATATTTCAAAATTGTCGCACATTTCACTCGCCTAACGGCTCCTGAAATTTCGTATAACAATTTCGAAATATCACTCTTGGTATTTATGCCAAATATCACTAGAAATCATGCTGTTACCTATACAAATACATTGACCCTCAAATAAAGTACATTTTATTATTTGCGTAGTTACTTATTTATTGCTTTTTTATCATTCTAAATCTGCTATACTGGCTTTATTGCAAGAGTGCAAACTGCAGCTCATAGAGATGTACTCATCTCGTGGATTTCCCGAATGTATACAGATAGCATGTGATCGTGAAACATGAAAAACTTTAACAAGCAAAATTTTCTTCCTTGTTGTTTTCAGGACTAATGTCACTGCACCAAGATGTACCCCATGGCCTTGATATGATTGTCACCATTATCACCCCCGAACACTGCTTCATTTCCACATGCGTTGGAGTCGTCGGGATACCCACCAATACCAAACCCAATTCTGGAGTCACAAGTAAAGCAGTCGTCTTCACTGTTACCAAGTATACCGATTCTTGCTTTAGATAGGCGAGGATTACCACTAACAGCATTGAACCCTTCCTTGTTACAGTTGTGCTGCAAGGAGGCCTCAGAACCAATCAGTGACTTCCACTTGTCTCGACCCAGTGTGGTGTAGCGGTAATTCCCATCAGCGATCAGAGAGTACAAGGAGTTCGCTTCTCGTTGATGACAATAAACTTGACCGGCTGCCGGCCGATCTTCATACCGAGGTAGATCTTGGAGAAAGATGTGTTCCAGTAGGAGGGAAGCTTGGTCTCTTGCGAATCAAACCCAGTCTTTCCTCCAGCAAGATTAAAAGCCTCTTTGTTGCTCCATATCAGTCTGCATTGTAGTGAAACGTTTGCTGTGATAGAAAAAAGAAGAAGAACAGGAAAAATTTATTTAAAAAGACAAGGTTGAAGGCTTTTATTTGTCTTTTCAAGACGAGCTGGTGAGATTCCTATAAAATTTCGTACGTAGCCTTTTTTTTTCAGAATTAAATGAAATAAGCTTCCGCAGGAGCCCCAGCATGGCGTCATGAACAGACTCCAAATAAAAACTAAAACATATACTGAGAGGGCTTCATAATGAGACCCATCTTGCTAAGGTGTGAATGACTCATAAATAAAATATTCTTTTGTAATTTTTCCTCCTCCAATCTATGCTATAGCGCCTAAGAATAGATGAAAGTAAATCTTCCTCAAAGATTGATGCACATAATGATCGCTTTTTAGCTTCATCTTTTCAGCCAATTCATTAACACGTTGTTTTCAAATTGCACCGAAGTATCATTTTTAATGTAGTGCCGTCGATCGTCTGCGAAGGTAGTCTAAATTTTTAAAATACTTAGTTTAAATCCTTCAGATTCTAATGCAGAAGTCCAATGACGTGTTCCTATCCCAGTGTTATTAAGTGCTTCTTATAGAATTATGGCCTTTTTCTAATTTCCATCATTAAGTTAATGAGCACATGTTGATTTAAAAAATAGAACGGGCAATCTTGGAAGTTCGTCACTCATACTTTTGTTCCATCAATCTTCATAACCGGCGTCCATCCACCAACTTCGCATGCGTTATTTTCAGAAGGGGCCACGGCCATTCACCGGCGAAAAATGTCTGATTGGTCGACGCGTGACCACGTGACTTTGCCAAATTCAAAATGGCGGCAATACCTCCATCGTTTGTAAGAAGATTAATTGCAGCTTAATATGGGTTGCAAATGCATATGCGGATATTTTTAGAATAGCCTAGACTTTTTATTATCCTTTTTCACCTATTCCTATGGGATCCGTTCCCTGCGATGCTCGCGTTTTGACCGGTTTACAGGATTCAACTTTGGACTTGTTTAAGCGATCACTCTTCACGATCACGAAGGACAACAATATTTCTGATAAAAGCCGGATCACTAGAAAGAACTCCCTTTGTCCACAGCTCAATGCAGCGGAGAAATAAGACACTATGGGTCCTTTGAAATTGCTTAGACACCTGGAAGTTGTTTTATTTTTTTTTTTTTACCGAAAAGATAAAGCAAACTTATGTTTTCTCCAGCAAGACTTTCTAATTTATAAAAAAAAAAGCTTGAACATAAGCTAAATGAACTGTAGTGTCTGCCTTGTTCTTTTCATTGTGAACGGGTGCAATTTTCATATCAAAACTTTAAAGCCGTCTCTGACCGAGCAAGGTTTTTTTTCTTTTTTCCTTTCAATGGTTACTGTGCTTGATCTGAATAAGATAATGAATTTTTTAAAATTAGGGGAATACTATATTTGAAAGAAGAGAACGTTGATTTAAGTGTTAGTTAGAAAAAATACTGATTATATTTTATTTTTTTAGTACATAAAGGCTAAAAAAGTGATGCATATAGTCTAAAGTGCTACAAAGGAGAAAAAACCCAGATCTTTCCATTAATAAATTTTATTGACAATGTCAGGGACATAAGCTTTCCTTGAGTACACATTTGTTCGTCAAAAAAATCTTGTTTGTGAGGCTGCACTTTGTTTGATTCAGGATCAATCAATCTTTTCTAAAGAGAAATGAAAAGTACAGTATGTTAACATGTCAGACACTTCAACACTAACTAAGAAGGAACTGAACTTCATATCAAAAAAACAAAGTGAAAACTACTTCATGGTGAAACAAAAACCCCTTCAAATATATATCACATTAAATTCATGCAAAATGGAGACCTGACTAAAGTTTGTAGGAATAGAAACAAACAATAATAACAATGAAACTATGAAGGTAAAGCATTACAGTACAGTAATTTTAACTATGAGCGTTTTGATCATTCTTAGTGTACTGATGTATTAGCTAAATATGTACACTACAAAAAAAACAGTCAGTATTAAAACTATATTTCAACAAAGCATTTTGCAAAGTATTCTTAGAGTTGCTGTTTCTGGGGAATAGTGCAGGGCTGTCAACAAAGGCAGGTAGCCAGCCAAAACCGCTGGCTAGTTAGCCATCCTTCACTGGCTACTTTCATCTCCTCCTACCACAGGATCTAACAAAAAATAAGTACCATCGAATAAAATTGCAAAGCATCTGTTTCCCAGGTTTGAATCACATTGAATGCATATTTAAACAGTAATTAGATCTGTGAAACATTAGAACGGTGCAATGTCGTGGAAGGTCTGGGACATTACTGAGACTCTAACAAATGCCTTTGGTGCGAGTTCCAAAGCCGCCTACTATTATTTTATTATGAGCCTGCTACTTAAAAACTTTTTGACAGCCCTGATATTGCACAGTAAATAAACACTGTTGGATATACACACGCAAGCGGTCCATAACCATCATTTATGCTACCTATCCCTTGATCAAAAAACCTACAAATCGCCTTTTGCCGACTTTTTCACCTGATTTTACATTAGATCTAGATTTGGTTGTTTTATGCTGAAAAGCTTGGTATTTTGATTACAGCTACAGTTTACATTGTAGAGCAGTCCCCTTTTGCTATGGCCCAAAGACTGGACACAGTGAACTCGAATGCTGTATTAGCCAATGAAATAATTCTAAGATGCATTTATGCTGTAGTAGCTAATAACATAAGATGTAATAACCTGTGTTGTGTTCCTGTTTCTTTATGATTCGTTTTACAAGGGATTTGAATCAGAGATGGTTAACATTGCCAGTATCAAATGCTTGCCTGTCAAGCGAGTCGGATGCGACGGTTACACCTCAAGATAACTATCTTATAAGCTAATACATTTCAAAAGGTTGAGTTTGATCATACATGTACATCTAAATTATTATTAATACAGCGTTTGGGTTCTCTGTGGACCAAGGAAACTGTCTGTAATAATGAGCCGTCCATAAAGTGGTGCTTAATTTCATTTGCCAGCAGTTCTTTTTATCTTAATATTCCAGATGGTATATGAAACAACTTATTATTTGAAACTGGCTACAGTGTTGATGGGATGCTACAGTGTACAATAATACTTTGAAGGGTCTGCACTCTTATCAATCATAGTCAATGCCTCCTGTGAGCCAGCTCATAGATGAATTTGATACATGTACAAAAGGAAATCCAACAGTCAACAATCAGAAAGATGTAATACTATGTGACCCCATGATGGAACTTAACGAAAGGAAATGTATATTTTTTTTAAGTTACATGTATTTTCTTACCCTTTTTTAAGTTATGTAAATAGGTCTTCTGTTGAAGAAAATGAAACGATGTCAAAATGTTTTGCTGTGCATGCATAAATCATGCAAGCATGAATTTGACAAAGGTTTGGAATTGAAAACTGGACAAGTTTGTACTTGATGTACGAAATTTCTCATCGCCTGAAACTAACAAGCATCATGTGCCAATTTTTGGCTCTAGCTGACATCTTAAATAAGAAAACCCATATTTTGGAAAGCATTTTTTGGCAAAACAAGAACTGATTATCCGTATATATATTATAAAACTTAAAAGTACTCAATCACAATATTAATAAATAAACAGTACAGGTAAACCCCCAATGCTAGTAATCTTCTGTGACCCAAAGAGGGCAAGTATGTTGGTGTAAAAAAAATAATAACTCCAAGGATTGCTCTACAGAGATATAACCATCCCTTTTCAGGGCTGTCATTAAGTTTTGAAACAGCCATAGCAAATGAAGATTCACCCAACACAGGTCCCAAAAATTTAAATTTAACATCAAGTGAGCTCAGCTGTAACAGGTGTTATGGGTTACGGCCCTTAATGACAGCTCTGCCTTTCTATTTTAGACAATTCTCAGTTTATGAAAAGCCAAAACATTTTTATTTAATCATTACATGTAGATCTCATTACACTTTTATACTTCTTTGGAACATTACCTGCTATTTTTCAAGATTATTTCACAAAAAAATAAGACTTTACATAATTATCACAAATATACCTGATCAGCATCTGATATAAAATTTTATTCTAATGTTGTAGTCAATTTTTTATTGCAGTTAATTTATAATTTTCTGTTCTTTTTTCTGTATGGCAATGTATGCTAAAAATAAAAGAAAAAATAATAGATATGCTGAGATACAAAATTAACTGTGCACAACATACATGTATACATAGATTAACAGCCAAAGAATTCTCAGTGAAATACAGAGGGGCAAATTATTATGGAACAATCCACCTGAAAACATTAATGCCATGGCTGATTAAACAAGATGTCTAAGTACAAGTACAGAATAACTTCCAGCAAACATTCAGGAAATAGTTTAAATTGTAATATAAGGTGCCAAACATGATAGGGCCATTTTTGTTCTCAGTTAAAAAAACAAACTTTGTGCAAGCATAATGCATGTACGGTCTCTAGGGAAAATACTATTTTTTCACTTTCGATCGATCAAAATCGTGTCCCATTTGACACACATTCTGAAGAGAAAACGTGCTGATTTACATTTAGCGGTCTTCCTATTTATAATTACAATAATTATTATTCTGTTGCTCAAACGGCCCTCCACCAGCTGTACCTTTCAATTTTCTCTTGTGTTGGACTGTGGGACGAGAAACTTTAACCTGAGCATAAAATGCCAGCGAAGCTTAATAAATAAAAATTCGAATGTTTGAGGATACACTGAACTAGACCTCCAGAGGGTCCCTGAACTTCAAAGATGCAAGTCGATATTTGGTACAAAAACGGTCCACACGTTTAACACAACTGTCGCTTCCGTGCACAACGGTACAAGCTAATTTATATACATAACAAAGCCCAATAATTTTTCTTTCACTTCTTTACAATTTCCTGTTGTACCGATGTGCACGAAACTAACAGTAAGCATAGAAAGTCAAAATTACCCACCTTTTTGGCATGCCTTTCGCACCCACGCCGGCGATTGCAAAGCCAATATCTCCGACAAATAACCATGCACCACTGGGTTTGTCCGCCGTTTCCAAGGCGCTACATTTTCTAGAGAAAAAATTCCACTCAAAACTTTCACCAAAATGTTTTTTGATCTCTTACTATGGCAAGAAAACCACAACGCTATCACTGTCAAAAAACAGCCATTACTTTTTTCATCTCAACCGGCATTTTTGCCTCAGAGCCAATGACATTGCCCGAAATAGATCACGTGTCATTTTTAGTAGAGCATGCGCAGACATTTTTCGCCGGTGAAGCCACGGCCATGTTGCAAAAAATGTCAAAAACAGCATCTCCCAAAATCAGTGGGTAAGCTTTGCTCTCAGTTGACCTGCAAGGAATAAAATACCGTAATAAGGGAACACTTAAGAAGAGAATCTACAGTTCAATCGCCAGTAACGATCGGTTGGTGCGTCTATGCTTCCTCAGGCTTTCTGAAGACGATTTTGGAGTGTGGCTTGTCACAATCGTCTTAGCTTGAGTGTTGTGTGAAAAGCCGTGTGCGTTCTTAAGGTATCTAAAGGCTCGCTTGTGGCACCACCACCATCACAAATGCCAGTTAACAAGGGAAGCGTTTGGATGAAAAAATCTATATAATTCATTGAAAACAGCGTTCTAAATCCGCTAATGACGCCGTCGCGCTTATAAAAACTAATATGACAATAAGAATGCCGCAGACTCGAGCAAAAGAAGAAGAACTTATAAGCCACTCACAAAGTGTGGAAACTGGCATTGTGTTTGTTTTATTCTTCCACTTTTGCTCCCGACTCCGATAATCTTGTAGCACAAATCCCCGGGGAAGCATTTTTGTGACGCTGAAAAGGGTATGGTTTTTTGGGGTCTTGGGTCTTAAAAATTAAACAAGGTTTACGATTTCACTATTTAGCGTCTTGAACAGGGTGTCTTTCTTCAACAGAATTGTTTAAAAGAGTGGGAAAGTTAGCGATGAGCGATCTACATTTGTGGTATCAACATTTTATTTTTTGCAAATATATATTAAAAGTCCATGATGTTACTTTGAAAAATTACTTTATTCTTCAGTATGCAAATTGAATCGAATCAGGGTGATAAAATAAGGTCTCCTGTCTCAAACAGGGAGGTCAGATGAACAAGAGGAGTTAGGCCTTAAGCCGGTTTAAAGGCCTCGGCAGCACATATCAACCCAAAATACTATTCAATTCCCCCCACCCCGTGCACAACCCCCGCACCACATGCAAATCGTTGGCCAGCCCCAAGCCTGATTTATCCGTTTGTCAAATAAACCGAAATGCTATACTATGATATAATTTGGACTAGCACGAGGTCTTCCACTTGTCGGTCAACGAAAAATCAATATGAAAGGTAAAATTATAAGGAGAATGTAAGCAGTATCAGTTCACGGGACACTTAAGGGACATTCTCTAAGTGCTTTAAACTGCATACAGTTTACACAGCTAACTTAATCTATGGACGGTTTCTTAATAAAACGAAATTCCCCTAAAAGCCATGGAAGCGATTACTCATCAAATTTGGAGCTCACAGATTGGTCTTTACTGTGTTCGTGGACCGACCCGGTGTGTATCGTTTACTTAGCTGTGTGTCTGCTATGAAAAGCGTGTGCATTGGTCATGGTTCGCGTATTAAGAATCGCATGTATCGATGCTTGCGATCCTAAGTGGTTTCACTGAAGAGTGACGCAAGCTGGCTTTACTTGATCAAAAGTGCATTCCAAGAGGGTGCAAGCAAACGGGTATTTGCTCTGCTGAAGTCAGCTAACCTATTCTACGTTGCATCTTCTGTACGCGCAGTAAACAACGAGAGGCCATTTGTCACAGGAGAAAATACAATCCAGCATATATTAACCTGATTTGGAGGCCCGAGTAAAAAAAAAATGTCGCTTTTACTTACATTTTTCTGTCGAAAAGGTCTTTACACGATGAAACTGTGCAGCAAAATGAAAAAGGAAGTAATTAATAGAGTTGTCTGTTAGGCCGGATATAAATTTTGAAGAAAACATAAAATACCAAATTCCGATGAATGATAGTTCAAGAAAATAATGCATTATTATTTGTAATCCAAATCGAGCCTATATTTTTCACAGCTACGGGAATGAATTTCTCTTGAATTTTTCTTTCAGCACCATTTACGGATTTATACTTTAAGACGTACAGCATATAATACTTTCCAACCATTTTTTAGCCTGAGTATCAGGCCTTCCTAACCATTTTTGTTTTGAGAAATAGTCTAAGACATGTCGTCTTCACTCTTGGACACACGTAGATGACAAGTCCATATTCTTTATATAGAAATACGCTTTTAAAATATACTGGCCACTACTTTGTCCTTTTGCAGTGATTGGAACCATTTAACGTTATTGTTTGCTTACATAGTTATATGCAAAGCCTGCTAACTCACCTGGTTCACAATTCTTTCCATCTCCATAATATCCCGGATGACAAGTGCAGTTGTATCCTCCCTTGGTATTATTGCAGTAAGCATTAGCATCGCACTTATGTGTATTTTGAACACATTCGTCAGTATCTTTAAAAAGTTTATGGTCAATGCATGATTAGAAACTTTCGAGAAATGCAAACACTAAAAGTAATCCTACTCCAGAAAAAAGAAGACCCAAACTTAAAAGGCTCAAAAGTAGGTCTTAAATGTCATAAACTATGTAATAGCCAGATAACGACGTTATACGACGATTTAACTAACAAGCTTGTTATGATAATGGCCACGTGATCTTTTCCCCAATCTGTCACGCTATATGTCACGTCATGGTAAATCACATGACCAACGGATGACAACACCCACTTGACTAATGAAAGAAATTTTATCAATATTTGCTTCTTGAAACGTTGTTGCTGTAGCTTCGCCGCCGCCGCCCCCCCTCCCTCCTGGGGGGGTACTCAACGAAGTTTTATCGGGGGAGACTCCGCTCTGAGGTCCAATCCCCTTAAAAGTTCCACCCTTTCTTGTACTTTCTATTGACAAATGGTACCCCTTTCACTAGTTTAGAACTTTGCACCCCTTTCAACTGCTGAAATGCACTTACAATTTCTCTTAGAATTTGTTCAACAATAGTACAAAAATACAAATAAATCACAAGACCAGAACGTTTTCTCGACTTTTTCACAATCATAAAATGTATCTTTTAGCCATTGGGCCTATTTTACAGACCAAAATGACAAATTCCCTCACCCTTTTATATACTCCAACGAGTGAAATCCCTATCTTTCATACACTTAAAGCCTGAAAAGAGTACTCCTTTCGGGTCCCCTTCTAGGCCATTATAAGGATTCCCCCCTCAAGCCCACTAGTTTTGCAACCATATGTACCAGCTCCACTTCACTGTTTCGATAAGGAGATAGAAAGAAAGGGGAATTGTCTGATAGAAAAGTTTCAAGGAACTTAAACAAAGAAATATAGATATCGTACCCTCACGTTTCATGTAGAACCTCAGATCATCCGTCACAAAATCGTCAGGTCTTGCTTCCTTGGTCTGGCTGTTGAGCTCACAAATTTTGTTCGGAATGTAATAATTGTAACTTGCACACCTGGGGTCGTTTTCACAGCTGTTTTGGCACTCAACAATGGCCTTCACTACAAACTCTTTGAACGTGTGACCCTTGAGAGCGTTACCAGGGACTGATCTCTCTGAAGGTTTGCATTGTTGACCTTCAGCCTCAATTTGGTACATCTTGGAGATAA